TATCTCTGATTCTAGTAGCTCTAGGCTTTCCTCGGTCGCCGTTAGGAGACGAAGGTTGTTCTGTTCACGTCGTTCCGCGGCTGCGTCAAGCCTGTTCCGGGTCTCCTCTGAGTACACCGGTGCTACCAACACTGTCTGTTTCAGGTTGCGTAGCTCATTGCTCATGTCGTCACCCATCGTTTGTCCAACGTGGAGGACGATCTTCTCCCATGTGCGTATCATCTGGTCTGCCGTTCCAGATCCAGTTGTACCGAAGTTAAACACATGTTGGTCGAGGGCTTTGCATGAACCTTTCTGCTGGTTCGACGATGGGTTGGTTCTTCCATGCCCTCGTGCTTTGCCGCCTCCTCGGCCACCTCGTCCTTTACCTCTACCGCTCATTGTCTATGCTACGGTAGGTGGACTATTTCAATTCGTTGTTTTTTGATTGACTAGCTCTTTTAATTTAAGTTCTCGTCCGACTACTTATTCGTCTTATGGCTATGGGGCGATAAACTTCAAATTATACTCCTGGCTAGGGAGTGTTAAATCTATTTACTAAAGATCTTGCAGGGAGGGAACGATTGCTTCACACACTGTGCGGTCGTTTCCACTCCGAACCCGTTTCTTTGTATTGTTGATTCCTTGTTGGGTGCCTTTCCTTTGGCCCCTGCGCTGGCACTATGGCTTTCGCGCTTGTTGTTGGCTCTGACAGTTCCGGCTGGATGCTGTCGGCTCTCGGCAATCCTTGTGGATTCTGCCGATGAAACTCTTGCTGTTGCCGTCGTCGACCGATACTCGCGTCGTCGTCGGCTGCAGTCTTGATCGATCCGTCCTCGGATCTTTCGTTGCTGTCGATCCTTCGACAGGCTTCTTCTCTTGTTGCTGTCGTTCCTTGACAGTCTTGGTCTCTATCGGTCGTTCTTGCAACGGTAGCGTCGTCCTCGACGGTCTTCTACTCGTCGCGATCGGCGGTCGGCTTCGGCGTCGGCCGATACTCGCTCCTCTTCTCTTCGCGTCGCGATCTTCTTCCTGCTACCGGTTGACTGCTTCGATAGGCTCCTCTTCGACTCGATAGTAGACCACTGCTATTCGTGATAGCAGCCTTTTTCAGTAGTATGTTAGTTGCTCTAAGCTCTCTTCTAGTTTACTGTTGCTATTGAGATACTACTGAAAAAGTGGGTGGGCTCTGTATTTCTACTGTGAAATTCTAGTACAGAGGTACAGGGGTTGAATCCCTAATCGCGAATCCCCAACACCACGTACGTCGCAAACGCTGGAAGCTCCGACGATGATCTCCATTTCCACATGCAGGCCTGGAGGGTTGGTATCCATGACGGCTTCCTATATTTCTAAAGATGCACCTCACTATCTAGTAGTTGTTATGAACAAAAACATCCACATATGCCTAGCTAGTGATGTATCAGAGCTCGATCTGCACACAACAATTAATTGATCAAACATGAATTACATCCCCGTATTCTTGCTCGCTTGAACCAGGTCTCGGAACATGCCACCCCGGCCTAGCAGAGCCTTGGGTTTATCGAACTCGGCTGCTCGGCCATCATCCATTACAAGAATCAGATCGCTGTCCATGATAGTGTTCAATCTGTGTGCGACTGTTAGGCAAGTAGCATTGACGAACTCGGTCCTCATAACAGTCTGGATGCGTGCGTCGGTGTCTACGGTAGTAGTCGAGAAAGAAAGCAACCAGAACAGAGAAATCATGAGGCGTGCACAGGCGCATCCGTTGTCACGGCTCTGTTGACATCTACAGTACTTACCAGCGTCCACGGCTGCTGTGGCCTCATCCATAATGACAATTGTCGCTCGACATAACAACGCCCGTGCAATAACGACAAGCTGCCTTTGTCCAACACTGTAATTGATCCCCCCTTCGCTAACAGTATCTTCCAGGGACTGTACCGCGCACTGAGATACAAGGGATGCCAAACTCGCGCTCGAAAGGCTGCGGCCATTTTCAGTGGAAGAAGTGAAGAACAACCCGACTCTGTGTAATACTCCATACAACGTTTCATCCGAAAACTCCTGAAAGGGATCTAGATTGGAGCGGATTGTTCCCGAGAAAAGGACTGGATCTTGTGGGATAACTGCAATCTTGGACCGTAGAAGCGCCAATCCTACCGTGGAAGCGTCCACTCCATCCATCAGGATTCTGCCAGAATCCAGTTCCACCAAGCGCAATAGAGCAATCATAAGCGTGCTTTTGCCTGCACCGGTGCGGCCCACAATTCCGACCTTGCTTCCTGCAGGTATATGGATATCCAAACCTTTGAGCACCAAAGGCAGCTCTGATCGATATCGGAGTTTTGCGTTGTCAAAGATGATCTCGCCTCGAGGCCAACTGTCGGTACCACTCTTAGACATGAGTCTATCGTCATCGTCGCACTTTCGATCGGCCTCTTCGGTAAGGTCGCAGTAATCCTTTACGCGCTCCACTGCGACCATTTGAGCTTCAAAATCACTGGCCATGCGCACACTCCAGTTTAGACTTTGTGTAATGCTCAAACTGAACGATATTGCCAACCCAAACAACCCAGCCTGTGTCTCGTTGCCGTTGACAGAAGCATGCTCTGCGACAGCACAAAGACATGCAAAAGTAATGATCAATGTCCCGACGAGTTCAAGCCTCACAGCCAACCAGCACTGGGCAGAACATGTAAGATAGTAAGCGTGCTGTTGCTTGTCGAGGGAATTCTTCAAGCGCGTCATAAGCGCGTTCTGCGCAGAGAATGCGCGGATCGATGCTACGCCATCAACAGTCTCCCCCAGGAGGGCATAGAGAGGGCTTCGATAAACAGAATCCAACCGTTTCAGTTCGCGGTATGTGATCTGGGCGAATGGTTGGCAACCTGTGAGGCGAAAGACCAGAGCTGGTCGAAAGAACTCTTGATTTCCGTGAGCGGGTACTTACTGTAAAAAACGCCTGCTGCCTGATGTAGAAAAGGATGATGGGAATCAGGCTTGCGGTGAAGACAGGACTAACTCCTGATATAACCATGATCGTGCTCAGGATTTGTGTGATGTTGCGAATGTACATGCGAAGCGTCATCACAAGTTCTGTGTTCGGTAAAGAGAAACGTGGTGGCATGAGGAAACCAAACATATCGCCCATGCAAAGAGTGCGATAGTCGCATGTGTGGTTTTGCTTACCTTCATCGATGGTGTACATGTCTGAAACATACGATGACAATATTTGGCTAGTTGAGCGATCTGATGTTTGTGCAATGAAAGCAAGCCGACGGCGACCCACCTTTGCTAAACCGGTTTATGATGCGCCCAATGGGCGTGGTGTCGAAGAAGCTCATCGGCACTCGCATCATTGTGTCAAGCATGTGAGCGAAGAACTGTTAAGCGTCCAAAGTTAGTGCCAATGGGTTTTGCGGTGACAAATACAGAGGGAGGACAAACCAGGGAACTCACATTCTGAGATGCTCTCATCCCGATGGTGACGAGAAGTACCATGGCAAAGAATGTTGAGATGACAAACCCCAAGTTGATCAAAGCGTAGATCTCGAGAAAGCCCATTTGACTTCCTCCGGACGCATGCGAAGACCAATACGTAAGCCACCATTTCGAAAGAACATTCATGCCTTCAACGGAACCAAAGATCAGGACAATTGCAAAGGGAACCCAGTACCCTCCAGCCGCTTTGGCCCAGGCTAAGTACACAGGCAATCCGACATGACCAGTTGACCGAGCTGGAATGCGCAGGCTAGCGTTAGAATCACGGCATGAAGTCTCGTTTTGCAATAAGAGTGCCTCTTCGCGCTTACCTTCCTCTGTCATCAGCTGCGTCTTTTTCTCTTTGTCTGCGCGAGTTGAATCTGTGATCGAAGCCCGCCTCTTCTTCGAAATTGAAGATCTGCGTTCAGACTTGTCCACCTCTTCTGCTTCTTCCTCGTCTTCTACTGAATCTTCTTCAGCGTCGTCCCCCCCTTTGATTCCAGTTTCTTCAATCACAGCTAGGAATCGCGCAAACAGCGAGTCTGGGGCGCTGGCTAGCTCCTTGTGAGTCCCTTGCTCAGCTATCCGACCATCATTGATAACAACAATCTTGTTAACACGTGGGTGGCTAAGGTATTGAAGCGCGTTCGTCACAAGAATCACACTCCTCTTCTTGCCACTGTCAGCTTTACTATTCAGCAATTCACCAGCAATACACTCGTGAAAGAGGTGCTTTGCTACATGCGCATCCACAGCAGACAGAGCATCGTCAATGAGCGAAACATCTGCATTGTGGTACACAGCTCGAGCAAGGGCTACTCGAGCCTTCAATCGGTAGGAAGCGGTTAGTTGATTAAGAAACGAATCGATGAGTAAACAATGAGCTCTTTGTTCCTACCTTTTGGCCACCACTTAGGGTCACACCACGCTCCCTGCAAACGAGTTGCACCAACAATAATTGTGGGGATTTAGTGCAGGCATGATGGGACGACGTAGCGCGATCTCTACACTTACCCAATCTCAGTCATATCTCCGTGAGACAACATTTTGAGGTCATGGGCAAGAGCGCAACACTCGAGGGCCCGCTGATAACGCTCTTCGTCAATGTTGTCGTCGTTCACATGCCCAAACAAGATATTGTCTCGGATCTTGACGTAATATATTGTGAGTATACGAAGCAATCAGGTCAGCAAGTTCGGGAGAAGTGTAACTGATATTGAACTCACCGTTGCGTTCAAAATGAATGGTGCTGGACGTGCAAGAAACAAAGATGTGTGAGATTGGCGGCACGGGTGGCTTCTAACATTGTGCAATGGTTCCTTACACTGCGAAAAATACGAAAGACTCCCTCGCACGGCGCTAGTTCCTGCTAACACCCTGACTTCACCCAAAATAGTATTGATCAGTGTGCTTTTGCCACTTCCAACAAATCCCACCACCGCAATGAGCTCTCCTTCGTTGCATTGGAAATTGACTCTTCTGAGACAAAGCAGATTAGCGGAGGATGACACGCCCCTCTCGGGGTCCTTGCCATCTTCTGCCGTACCAATGTCAGAAGCCGCGGTGTCTTCTGCAACTGGTTCCATAGTTTCAACACCACCACCACCGTGCAAATCTTCCCAATCTTCTGGCTTACTCAATGATTCATGTCCTGTCGATTGTCGCTTTTGTCTTTCTGCGGACTTTACGAGATCTCTAATCTTTTGTTCGGCGTCTTCCAGCTGGGACTTGAGCAACGCAACGTCCCACTGAGCTTCCAGAAGTTCCTTGGTTTTGGGATCCGGGTCAACCCCCTGAAGTCTCGGCTTTCGGGTTTCATACGCAGCAGAGAGATACGATAAATCCACTCCGTTTTGTTGGAGCAATCCCGGAGGAATCGGTTCGTGCTCTTTGCAAAGCAAAAAAGACCGGATACGTGCCATGGAGACACCTGCCTCCACAATTCGATTGACAACTGCACAAAACAGAAAGGGACAGAAGTGAGCGGTGGTGACGAAGTGCAAAATAATGAACAACACTCCATCATTGAAAGGAATCCAGTGGTTCATTTTGTTTCGTTTCACTCACTCTGAGGCAGCATAAAGAGTGGAAATCGCAAAATGTCAAACAACGCCAATGCCGTCAACGCGGACGCGACTTCCAATTCATTCCCCGACAAGACATAGGCAGCAAATGTCGCGACCGCCACGGCCACGGGTGTGGAATTCCACAACATGGCCGACGCGGCACTTCCCACATAGTACGTCCACAATTCCGACATTTCGGTGGCTCGAAACCGTAGAATTTTGTTTTGAAAGGATTCTTCCCATGCTTGCAGTTTGATGACTTTAATGTTGGACATGACTTCGGAATTGATTTCGACGCGTTCATCTTTGGCTTTCATGACCCGTTTCTGTCGTCGTCCCATCCATTGCGCGACCGTTTTGGTGACGGGCATCATGATAATCATAACGACCACCCCACCCAAACAACTGGCTCCTAGTTGTTGAAACAAAAAGAACAATGCCAGTGTGATCTGAAATACAGTATACCAAATGGCATGTAGGTAGCTGGTCAAATCTAGTAACGGCAGCAGAAAAAGTGGTGGCATCACCGAACCACAGAACGAGATAGAGTGAGAGGGTGGGAATGGTGAGAAACTACCGATGGAGTCATCTATCTTTCTGAGAGTCGTACAGTACACTACATACCTTGCAATCGCTTGGCATCAATGGACATGAGATTGGTAATTTCTCCCACGGTCCTAGTTTGTCGTTCTCCCGCAGCCAGCACCAGTGCCTTTTCGTAGACGGCCACGACGACGGCCGTTCGTAGTTTGAGCCCGACCATGTAACAGGAGAAAAAGTAATGTCGCAAACAAAAACTCATGGCCAATTGGGAGACAGTCACCAAGGCGGTCAATCCCAATCCTTCCGACATTGGTGCCTTGGCATTGCGCAAATAGTAAATCATGGCATTCAATACTTGAGGTCCTACAAAAATACAGGCATCGTGCACGAGTTTGAGCAATCCAGCCAACATGAATTCCCTTCCAAAGGATTTGGCCAATGCAATGACCAAGGAAGGCGGTGTGGGGGGCTTTTTCTTTTTCTTGTCGTCCTTGGATTGTTGTTGCTGTTGCTGTTCACTACTAGTACCGGTAGTAGTAGAGTTGGCAGCCTCTTCTTCCTTTTTGGCTCTTGCAATTTCAGCCCGCCAATGTTCATAAAAGATCTCGGCGACACAGTGGGTGTCGCAGTCATGCGGAAACGGTACCAAATCCATATCTTCCGGATCCAGCTTCTTCTTGTCGTTGCCTCGATACAGCACCGGTGTGAACCAGTTGAAGACCAAGTTGGTCCACAAGTTACTCAGTAGCGACTTTTCACTATCACCCGAACAACAATTGCCAGACATTGCAGCAGATGAGGCAGGAGGAAGCAGAGGAGTCTCTTCTTCCGTCTTGGCGACATGATTCAAGGCATTGTCAGCGACATGGTTGGTGTTGGCGTCTTCCGGCGACACCTTGGGGATGCTGCCGTAGACGGGCATCGTGTCGGATTGTGTCTCGATCCTCACTCAGGACTATCAAGCTATATGTGCTGTACTGTAACGGCAAATCTGATCTCGGCCTTCAATCAATCTCTTGAAGGAACTGCTTTCTCACACACACACTCTCTCTAACTCTCCCTTTCTCAACTAATGGTCTCGTGAACCACACAACACTATCGCTTGACGAAAGGCGAGGATACATCGAAACGATGCAACAGAGCTGACTGAGTCAATGGCACGAAGAGCGAAGGTTCTGAAAAAGAAAAGATCCAATTTTATCCTGAACTCTAACGTACATACAAAAACACGTCATCGGTGTCAAAATGGCGAAGACAGGGAAGCGTGTCCCCCAAAATAAATACAGTAGAAGAGGACTTGCCCTGGAAGAGCACGGATCTTGGGGATCCCAAGATCTCACCCTTTTCAACATGTCTCACCAGCTGCATCCAAAGGAGTAAACAAAATCCCCCACACCCGACCACATCGAGACGGCGGCGTGCGAGATCCAAGATAGATCCAAATCTTCAACGGCGCTCCCGATTGTGGGAAGAATGAATTGAATCCATGGAAATGACTTGGACATTCTACAGCTGCACAGCCGCATCATCATCATTGGAGCTGGAGGAGCACTGCAGATAGGCCGACTGAAGTGGCTACGGGTAGCGACATAATATACTTTCCATGATCTAGCTAGGGATGTACCACCTTGACCTGTTGAGAGTAGCAGCTCTATTCAGTGCTTTTGTGTCCACTTCTGCTTTCCTACCTGTAGCACCAAGTAGTCAATCTTTGCAGTCTCGCTCTTATCGGTCTCTCCGTTTGGATTCCGCCTTGACAATGCAATTCAAACCTCAAGAAGAAGATTTGACGTTGGTTGTTACCGGCCATGGTGTAGCCGACTACGACGCCTGGCTCAAGGTATTCACTGGTGCTTGCGAGGCTCCCAAAGAGGAAAACTTTCATCGCAACGTCTTGCAAGTCAAGTACCACTTGGCCGCGCAGCAAACCAACCCCAAACAAGGCACCAGCAATCCTTGCTGCTTGGTAGTGGCTGTCTCGCCTTCGTCGACGGACGCAATCATGGAGGGGGTGCTCAAGTACGAGGGCGAACCCTTTGATACATTCAAAAAAGACGGAACCATGATCCCTCCCTTTGAACCCAACATGATGGGCCGTTTGGTTGCCGATCGCTGGGATGTCCCCGAAGAAGAGGTGGGGGAGGATTTGAAAAAGAATCCCGGAAACTACATGGTATATGTGGCATCCCATGGTGTCCCCTCGTTTGACAAATGGTACACGGAAGCCTTTGGCGGTGGAGCTCCCATGCCGGCCGAATTGCGGGATGGTTTGGGAGTGGTACGCACGCTCGTGGCCAAGGGTCCAAAGCGTACGGTGGACGACCAAGAGCAAGAAACCTGCATTGTTCTACATGTCTTTCGAAAGGCTGGATATGATGCATTTGCTCAATTGGCCAAGTATGATGCTCCACCCTTTGTGGGCGGACCTGACTTTATTGGAAACGGCCTGGTCATTCCACCCTTTGACATCAACTTGTTCGCCGATGCGGCTTTGTCTTTCGAGTATTGATTCTAATAAAATTTAGTTAGTAAGTAGATGGTCACTTAGTCTTGGCAGCCGAAGAGGTGCCAGTAAAGCCTGCCGTACTTGCATTGTGCTACAGCTCTAGCTAGAATGGAATCTCTCATGTTAGAGATATGACAAAATGGACACCCCCAACGATCCCCACCAGCCGAGCGCTGAAGCGCGCTAGCTAGCTATAGCTAGGATCGTACCGGTAGCAGTTGTTTTTTGTTTCTACATTTTATCATCTTCTGGTCGACATCTTCCACTCCCCACTCCCCAACCTCATTGCCACACCCTCTCAATGATGGGTCGGCAAGAACCACCAACCACCCGACAACCCGGCTCTCGACTGATGGACCCATTTTCCAGCCTTGTGTGCTTTGTTCCGAATGAATGTAGATTGTTGTTTTTGTCTTTTTTCCCTTTCACGTTGTACAGTTTCCATTCATACCCCCTGCTGGCTTTCTTTCTGACTGTCAACGTGGCCAGCTAGTTGTGCTTCTTAAAATCAAATTTGCCATTTCCCTGGCTTCGGCAGGTCTCAAAAACATATTGGCAATTAGGACAGATTTCCTTGGAGCATAGACCTTGCTGCGACACATTCAGTGTACTGGAACTTCTCCCCGTAAGAGCCATTTCAGACAGGGTTTGCAAATCCTGCCATTGTCACATTCTTCGCAAACGTCTTCGAAACAGATATCACAAGTAGTGAACTCTTTGCATTTCTCACGGCAGTAAGTTTTGGAACAACCTCCACAGCAGAAGCACTCTTTGTCACTACATTCACTGCAACCATGCTGCTGGTTACATGTTTTGCACTTGACTGGTTGATCACAGGAGTAGCAACTACCATGTTCACAACCTGCACAATACCAAGTTTCGTTGCACGTCGAGCAAAATTTCTCGTCACACTTGTCACAATAGCCATAGTCGTCGCTATTGGTACAGAATGCCTTGTCACATTTGTTGCAACAGAACCAGTGCTCAGAGACACAATCCATGCAAAATATTCCTGCATGGCAACAGGAACCTTCATAGTACCAAGTCTCCATGCAGGTAGAGCAAAATTGCTCTTCACACCTGGCGCAATTGCTGTAGGGATCACAATCGTTACAGAATGTCCGGCCACAATTGTTGCAACAGAAAAATTCACAATCCCGAGTTTCCATGCAGGTAGAGCAAAATATCTGTTCACAGCTGTCGCAATGGCCATAGTTGTCGCAATCGATACAGAATGCAGAGTCACATTTGTCACAACAGAACCCGTCCTCATAGAAACAATCCAGACACCCACCGCTGCCACACTGTAGGCACGCCTGAATATTATCCTCCTGATACATGGAACAGAAACCTTCTCCACAGTCACAATGTTCGATTTTTTCACAACCCTCTCTTCCACAGAACACCTCCTCGCAGGAGCTGCAACAAATCATTGAAGTGTCTTCATAACATGGATCGCATTCCTGGTAACTGCAATTGTTGCATTGGTTCAGCTCATCCGCGTTTTCAAATCCCTTGCAGCAAGTGCAGCGCTCGCGATCAAATTCTGCTTCCACACAATCTTCACACTCAATGTTCACCTCAGCTGCCGCAACATTGTCATTATTGCAAATTTGATCTGCATCTTCGCCCTGGTCGTCATCATTTCCAGTCATGCTTTCCAGGTCTCTGCGACGCTCCACCTGGGATTCCAGTTTAGTACCATGTATACTACAGTAATAGCTCTTGAGATCAAAATGCTTGCACAAATCCTCTACCTCCAAACAACTGAGAACACTCTCTGTGTCCAAAAATCCCATAACTTGTTCCGCCATCACGTGGCCGGTGAGACCAGAGGTGAGGAGCTCACTCTTGGATACAGACTTGACCGTTGTTGAGGTCGTGGACAGGATCTTAAGAAGATCAGAATCAGGATCCATGCCACCAGGATCATTTGCGTTGGAATCCATGATGGGTTCTCAGTTTCCAGATTGGGATGAGGGGAATTGGATACGGTAAGGCCCACAGTGGTAGGGAAGACCAACCAAACGAAACGCGCCGACACGGAACCAACAGCTAAGCGTCCGTTCAAGCGACCTCAACCAAACAACTCAACCAAAAGCTCGACCCAACCAAACACCACAGCTCCGAGTGCAACCCGGGCACCCTTAGCAATGCCTTGGTCAAAATGAGGATATCAGAAATCTGTTGAAGGAGCAGTTCTCGAACGGCGACCTCCAGACTCAAGATCCACAAGAGCCTTAACTCTAACTCCTGCCGTAAAGAAGAACTCCTGAGCACGTCATCCGGAGCATCGGCATCAAATCAAACAAAGGAAAATTCTTGATGACTACATGTAGATCTACGGGAACGATGAAAGGCCCTCAACTCCATTCTTCTGTCATCATCGCCATCACAAGTCAAGTCGATTGACGTCAGTAATAAGACGCCTTTCAATCAAGAGCTGAGGTTTTATTAATTAATGCCACCATAAAGACACAAGCAGTAGATCAGTAAAAGCAATCATTTGAGCCATCATCGTCATGTCGCTTGCCAATCCCAATGACACTAAAGATGGCTCTGGCTTTTTCCATCAAGAAGACATTTGGGTCAGCGGCATTCTTCCGTTTGTTGGCATGGGACACTATGCGTTCCTTGCACCAGTCAGCCGCAAAGTGAAAGATCTCTACTTGGCCTACTGTGCCACCATTGAGGTACCGCCCAAGGTGTTTGTTCGAGGAATTCGAACACGCCCAGCAACCAGCAGAGACACATACTACAGTGCCACTTTCTGCAACCCTTCATGTGCCGAATACTGGTACAGTGACAGTTCCAGTGACAAAAGCCCCACCCGCAGTCGCGTCTGCTCCAAGATTGCCAAAATTGGATATTTGAAAGTGCTTCAATGGGCCCGCGAACAAAAGGACTTTCCGTGGAATGCCGATACCTGCTCGGATGCCGCTGGAGGTGGTCATTTGAAAACCCTCCAGTGGGCCCGAAAAAATGGTTGCCCCTGGAATGCCGATACCTGCTGGCTGGCAGCTCATGGTGGTCATTTGGAAATCTTGAAATGGGCCAGAGCCAATGGTTGTCAATGGGATGCCAACACATGCTATGGTGCAGCTCAAAATGGACACTTGGACATTCTAAAATGGGCCAGGGAACACAACTGCCCCTGGGATCACAACACATGCTCGGGTGCAGCAGCAGGTGGGCACCTGGATTTGTTGACATGGGCCAGGGAAAATGGCTGTCCATGGAACTCAAGTACATGCTCTCTGGCGGCTCAGTTTGGCCATTTGCATGTTCTGAAGTGGGCCAGAAATCATGGCTGTCCATGGGATTCACGGACGTGCGCTTTGGCTGCTG